AGCCGTCCGCGGGGTCCGGGTGCCTGTGCTGCGCCGGGGGTCGAGGCTCGAACGTCCGCCCCTGCCCAGGATGGGGCTGACAACACTCATACCCGCGGGGCTGGGCTGGGACAGGCCTGATCCTTGGGGCGGGCAGCTCCAGGGCCGAGACCCCGATCTTCCTCCTTGCACTGCCCCAGCACAGAGAGGCTGCATCTGGCTTGGGCTTGTCATGCAGCTAGGGTAACAATCAGTAACCTACTCTCTTATACCCCATGTCAGCTCTCTGTGCCCAATACGGACTAGTGCAGATGGGGAAATGACACTCCCCAGTGGCCTCTGGCTGCTTCAGGTGCAGATAGCCCAGGCCTGTGCCCTGCTGCAGACTCCCCTGGACCGGAGCAGACCTGGAGCTGTCAGCAGACAAAGGCTGCTCAGGCTGGTGGCCCAGATGAGGCTCGATCCCAGGGACAGGGAGGGGGCGGTGGGGCTCCACTCTCCAGCAGCATGAGCACCGTCCCTTGGTGCCAAAATCTCCTTTCCACAACATGGTAGAGGGGGTCAGTGCTCCACAGATCAGTGGTTCTTGTTTTCATGGTGCCCCTGGAATCATTTCACGGCCCAGGAGCAGACCGACCTTGCGTTTCCCCTCCCCTTCCCTTAGCATGTGGATCTGATATGGCCCCAGCACCGCTGGAGATGCTTTCCCAGGGAGCAATGTCCCTGCAGGCTCCATCGTGGTGCTGTGATCACCTCCCCATGCTGGGACAGAGTTACCGGGGCTCATCTCCAGCCTCATGCCTGTGGAGGTGTGTTAGCAAGAGCTGCAGGATGCTGAGTCTTCCTTCTCCCCTCTCTTCCACACAGTGAAGCCCCCATCTCCTCAGTTCCAGGCCAGTGCAGGAGACTGGCAGGGCTTTCCCCGTGCCAGCAGCACCAGGGCTCACGTGTGCCCTCCCTTCCCACCCGCAGGTGCTGGGACCCTGCAGAGAGCTGAGCAGCAGCCTGCTGAGGAGGGGCCGGTGATCCTGGAGCTGCAGAGGACGTGCGCAGGGAGCCTGGAGGAGAGGAGCTCCCTGAGCCCTGAGCCAGGCCAAGTGCAGAAGGGGCAGGGCAGGCCTCCAAAGCAGGAGGAGAGCTCGGAGGTGAGCAGGGCACCC